GGGACTCGGGAGGCAGCAAATAGATTGGGGGCGGGGCCAAATAAAAGGTAAAAATAACATGCCTGAACTCTGGTTGGCACCTCCTTCCAAACGCCTCCCTTTCCGTTCTTCAACCCCAATGTCTCATTGGCCATCATGCAGATCCATCTCTTCGTCCCAAGCACTTTCTTTTCACAGGAATTTCCCCCCTCCCTCTGTTACCCAGGTAACGCTATCTACTGAAGAGGCTTCTCCCTCTTTCATTCATTTCATGTCAGCGCTGAAAGAGATCATAATTTGGAATGCTGACATTTAAAAATTCTTAAAAGTATTACATTTAAGGCCAAAATTAGCTTAAAAACCCCCCAAAAAATTAAGAACACCAAATTTAAAACTCAATTATGAAGCTAGTCCTGCCTGTCAGAAAAGCAGAGTCTTAAGAGCACAGCGGAAAACTCGAAGGTCAGAGATCTTGCGTTTGAGAGTAAGCCCCACTCCCAAGAGTAGGACAACCAATTACTGTGGGTTACAATCCTCAATATGGGTAGGGCTCATCCTGGGAGAAGGTGGGGAGGAAGCTGTAGATCTGGCCTTTTCAATTTCTCACATTCTGCCGGAGGCTTTCAATCTCATCATAATCTGGTCTTTTTCTAGCCAGGTGGATCTGAAGCTGACGAAATGCTTTCCCTTTATCGCATCTGCAAAACAAACACAAAACTATTTGTAAAGCAAATGTTTTCCCTCTGGAAGTAGATATTTTTATACAACTTTCACTCAGAATATTTTTTTAAAAAAAAATTTGCACAAGGGGCAGTCTAGGTTTTTAATTTAAATTGGAGGAGCAGATTCCTTGCTGGCCTCAGAGAGAGGTGCTGCTCCTTCTCCTTCCTCCCTACCAAGAGTTTCCTGGGTCTCCCCCAAAGCCAGGATGGTAAGTAAAATGGTTTAATCTTCATTTGCAAGAGGAGCTTGAACTGACTTGGACGTGAGAAAAGAATGGCTGGAGGAATGAAGTGGCCCCTTTGGGATAGTCACGCTCTCGCAGCAGAACTGAGAGTTGTAACTGTGGTTATAATAGTGCAAGAAATACTCTGTATATTATTTAGATACAATAAAGGAAGAAAGAAATGAAGATCAAACATCATCAGATGCCTCTTCAGAACTCCAAAATAGAGATAGGACAAAAAGAACTATTTGCAAAACCAAGGAATTAAATTTTGGGGTGTGTGAGATAAGTTTAAAATCCAGATGTTGCTGGTCTAATTTTTGCACAAGGACTCAAAAGCAGAGTTTATTTTAAAAAAGGCAGAGTTTATTTTCTAGTTATTCAAGAGTATTACAGATAAATACACAAATGCAGAAATGCACTATTTGTACGGAGGACATATCAAGTCAGAAATAGAGAGTCAGGATTGTCATTTCTTCCCACAAAGCATCCCAGGTGGAAAAAGGTATGTGAAGGGAAGGAAACTGATGTGGGGCTGAGGCACATCTGTGGTGGTGGGGTCAATCCCAATGATACCAATGGGGAGTTTTGTCTCTGGAGGGGGGTAGGATGGAAAAATATTTCACACTGAGGACTTCTTGAGGACTGAGGACTGAGATATTTTCCCTCCAGAGTGGGGGGAGGACTGAAAATTATTCCATCCTGAGTACTACTAGGTGGATGAACAAATGGTTGAGATATTCAGGTATCCTGGATTGTGTGCAGCTGACATAAAGAGGGGAGAAAGATGTTCCAGGTTGTCCCTCTTGTGCAACAGAGTCCAAACTGCACATTTGCACAAGATTGTAAACTTAACCCAGAGAGCTTTTTGTAAAGTTCATGAACTTCATCGTATTATCAAACGGGACTTTTGTTAAACTATGAATAGTCAGTTTGTCAAAGAATTAGTAAGGTCTCTCATGGCTTATTCTTTCTTTTTTCTTTAACTTTCTCAGAAAGTCTTCTTCAGCTTGATCATCTTCTCTCTCATGTTGGCTACATGTCAAGGAGCGTGCTTGAGAATTCCCTTTCAAGCTGAATTTGAAAATGGTAACCAAACTCTTTATACATTTGAGCAAATCACCGCTGTACTGCTTGCCAAGGTTTAGGAATCCCAGGAGAAATGTTGTGGGCTTAATTTTTACAATCCAGGTTTTCATTAAAGTGGGCCAGGAAACATCGACTGTATTAATGCAGAAGACGTTTGATCATTAGGGATCCTTGCAAATCTAAACAATCCTTAAAATAGAATGATATTCAGCAAATGTGCAGAATTTGTATACTAATCACATTTGTCCAAGAGGAGATTTGTAAAAGTAGCCTCCAACTCTAGCAGGTTTCTCAATGCCGCATGGCAATTTAGGCTTGTTTGAAGGTTCAATTTTCAACTCTTCCATCCTTTTTTTCGTAGGTAAACCAGTGCGGCCAAACACATGCCTTGATAGACTTGATGGGAGAAAGCATCTCATTGGGTCCACTTGGAACACAGCTAATTGTTTGAGATGCAGCTGCAGCAAATATGGATTGGGTTGCTGCCAAAGGTAGGAAGAGGTTCCAGGCTACCATCAGATATATTAATTTGCACATTTTCTCCTAGATTAAGTCACAAGCACTTATTCAGGTAGCACATATTAAGAAAGGAAGGAAGGAAGGAAGGAAGGAAGGAAGGAAGGAAGGAGGGAGGGAGGGAGGGAGGGGGGGAGGGAGGGAGGAAGGAAGGAAGGAAGGAAGGAAGGAAGGAAGGAAGGAAGGAAGGAAGGAAGGAAGGAAGGAAGGAAGGAAGGAGGGACAGATTGAGGGAGGGAGAGAGAGAGAGAGCTAGAGAGGGTGAAACCACCTGCTGTCTTAAGAGGCCATCCTTAGACCCAACAGACAACTTTCATCCAGTCTCCAATCTTCCCTTTTTGAGGAAGATTGTTGAGAGTGTACAAAGGGACCAAGTTGAAGCAAATTCAGTCTGGTTTCAGAGTGGGACACAGAATTGAAATGTCATCGGTGACACTTTTTGATGTTCTTTGGAGAACCTGGGATGGAGTGATGCAACCATTCTGGCTTTTCTGGACTTCTCAGTGACTTTCAATGCCATCAACCATGGTCCCCTCCTGGACCAGTTTTTGCATAGACATTATTTTTCAGTAGTTCTCTTCTTTCCACCATGGCCAGTTCCAGTTGGTGTTGGTGGAGAAGGAGAGATCAAGTCCTCTGCAACGTGGACCCCTCAGGGATCAAGACTCCTACCTCTCCTTTTCAACCTCTTCATGGAGTTTTGGGAAAGTCATCCCATCACTATTGGATGCAGAACCAACATGCTGATGATACCCAATTAATGACCTAGCCCTACTCAGATACAAGAAGCTGTGGTGATTCTGGTCAAGTACCTGGAGGCCCTTAAAGGATGAGGAGGAAGCAGTTTTGACTCAACCATGGGCAACGTAGAATGGATGTGGGTTTTGCCCTCTGCCCAAAGGACCAGGTCATATATCACCTTTGGCTCTATATTGGGTGGCACTCCCCCAGATTGAACTGCTACACAATTTTGGGGAGGGTCTTCTTAAACTCACAGCTCCTGCTGAAGGAACTTGTGGCAGCCATGGCCGGGGGAGGGTTTGCTCAATTTTGACTGGAATGGTTGGAGGAATGTGGTGGCCCCTTTGGGACAGTCTCGAACCGAGAGTCATAGCTGTGGTTACAACAATGGGAGAAATAATGGGAGAAATACTCTGTAGATTATTTAGATACAATAAAGACAGAAATGCCATCTGAAACTTTGACTGACCATCACATCTCCTTCTTTCTCCTCCTCCCTTTTTTTCCTCCTTCGAAGATTTGTTGGTTGTTAGCGTTGTTGAAGGGTGCAAAACAGTGGCAAATCACGTGACATGTGAACATGAATTCTATAGACTTGATGACCCAACGCAGCGCTGTGATGTCTGATCTCTTCGCGTGGACGAACTAGAATAAATCTCTCATGTGTAAATGAACCTGAATAAATCTCTCAAATCAGCATCTAAAACCGTTTTTCTTGCCTTTTCTTTTTATTAAATAACATGAAGCTCATGTCATAATTATGGACCTGGTGGCTCAGCAGACTAAAGCATTGTGATTAACATCAGCTGTCTGCAATTACTGTAAATTCGAATCTCACCAGGCTCAAGGTTGACTCAGCCTTCCCTCCTTTCTAAGGTAGGTAAATTGAGGACCCAGTTTGTGGGGGCAATAAGCTGACTTTGTATAAATATACAAAAGTATGAAGGCTATTGCTTAACGCATTGTAAGCCGCCCTGAATCTCCGGAGAAGGGCGGCATGTAAATCAATTTTTTAAAAAAATGTCAGCCATGCAGTACGGGAGAGTTCGGTCTGCATCAGTTTGCCATGGCAGTGTATCAATGCTTGTGCATTGGTGTGTCAGTGTGTTCTGCCCCAACTACGGGTCCCAAGAAGTGTAGCACACACATACACAGCTCCAAAAACTCCGTTTAATACGAACAGACCCCTTTCAAAATGCAGGCTTTAACCACCAATGTCCTTATCAGCCTGGTATGAATTACAGAGATTAAACAAAGTCCGACAAGGGTTGGCAATCAGCCCAGAATCCAAGTTGTAACAAAAAACTCACTCTCAAAATGCTCTGCGTAGGACCAAACGTTGTTTCCAGCAACATTTGCTATCTGTGTGTGAACTTTAATAGGCTAAGGGAATGGTCAATTAATCCCAAGATTTACTCTCGAGGAGACCTCCTCCTGAGTAGCCACTCCTGCCTTTTGGCAGCCCTGCGTGCTCGAGCATTGAGAAGAGGCTTCTCCACTTCACTCTCTTCACTTGAAGGAGCCTCTGGACTAGAGGACCTCCAAGCCCCCACCCAACCCCACCCAACCCCATGATCCTAAGTTCTAAATCATATTTTACAACCCCATTGATTATCCAGTAGGAAGCCCTTGAGCTATCTCTTCACTTCCTAAATTTGTCATAACTTCTTGCCTTGCTTTATGTCATAGCCCCTTTGTGACATCGGATTTTTCCTTAGTTCCACTTCCAGAATCGTTTGCACTGGACCTTCTGAAAAAGATTTCAGGTGGATCTTGGAATGAAGACGTAGAGCTGATGCCAAGTCTTCAATAGTCACAAGCCACTGGGCTCCAAGAAGGAAGGCGTGTCGTCAAAAATTGCTCAGTAATATATTTTGGAGAGAAAAACAGCCGAGTAGAACCAAAAATGCTGCATATTGTTATTCTGTCAGCTCATGTGCCTCCTGAACATGCAATTCAGCCCAACACATTTGTGGTTGGTACCTTCAGAGGTAAAGCCGTATCCAAATCCCCTTTGCTTTTTACATATTAAAATAGTTTTCTCTTATGTCAGGGCTATGCTTGAGAGAAGCAAAGCATCAGGAAACAGGTGGAATTAACTCAGAGGAATTTTTTTTCCCCCTAGGCATTGAAAGGAGTACAAGAGTCATGCAGAAGGACCAGAATCCAATTTGGAATGAGGTAAGCTAGACAAGAAAGTTGAGAAATGTTCTGGAAAAAGGATCCCAGCAAACCAATTTTTTTTAAAAAATGTTGTTTAAAAGGTTGTCTGGAAATACCATAAAATCACCAGAACTGGAACTTGGATCAATAAAGTCTATATTTTTCCCAAAATCCTTAATCCTGGTAACAGTCTCAGTTTTAGAGTTAGTTCCTTCTGAATTTCTTCATTTTTTTAAAAAAAAAAGTCCCTTAATAAGAACTTAGAAAGGGGAAAGAGATATATTACAAAATATAGTGCAACGCTCCAGAATCTCCTTTGGTGATGAAACTGTTAAGGAATTCGCAGAGTAATCCTTGAATTGCAAGGGTGTGTACATGAAAGTGATTGAGAGTAGGTACGAATAAACACAGTCAACACACAGATACACTGAGTTGTGTTTACTTTCAGGAAATAGTAAGGCACAGTCCAATAAACAGTCCAGGTCATACACATATAAAGCAGGAGATAGCAAAACTACAGTCCAGGGATAATCCAATAACAAAGTCTTCTTACCAGTCATCGTAGTCATTCACAATAAACAGTTCTTCTGGATTTGCAAACAGTAGCATACAGAGATATCAAGAGAGCAAGAACTTTATACAGAAGGAGGAATAAGATAAGAAAAGGGACTGCATAGCCTTGAATATGAAGGTATAAATTCTTGAAGGATCTGAAAACAATGGTGGCACGATGGCAAAAAAATTCCATATTTAAATAAATGTATAAAATGTACAATACACAATAAACTGAGTTGATAAAGTTAGAACTGAGAATGGGAAGGCTGTGAGAAGAGGGCCAGGAGGGAAGTGGACAACTATGGTAACTTCATCAAGATGTCACTCCCTTCATGACACAAAATTCCAGATGTTGCCAATGACCAGGAAATATCATGCATCAAATTCAACTTCAAGTAGCAGATAAATACTACTTGTAGATATGGATAGACAGCAGAAAGAATGCTTGTGTCAGGGTTGTGTCAGCTCTTGCCTCACAATATGGAGGTTATGAATTCAATCCTAGGTAGAGGTAGATGTTGAGTCTCCTGCTTGGGCAAGGGCTTGGACTCAATGACCCCTTCCAACTCTGTTAATCTGTTAAACCCCAAAGCAATCAAAACTCTGAGGCCTAGAGTTTCCTCAAAGCATAATTTTATTTGGGACGTCATATTGGCACAGCTGGTGAAAACCTGACTCTGAAAGACCCAGGGGTTTTCCCCCACCCAAATCATACCCCAAAGTTCCTTCCCCCAGGTCACACATGTCCATCACATGGTCCAATCAGGTCGCAGTCCCAACTCCAGCTGGCTTTGGTCCACATCCTTCCAAACACCTGGTAGAACGTCCTTAGCTCCCACAGAAAAGAATGCTATTTTGGCTACACATTCCCTCCCAGCTACCTCCCCCCTCACGTTCCCACAGCCCCACCCGGCCTCACTGTGGCAGCCATAAAGATGCTCCCAAAATGGCTTCAGGGCTGACAGCTTGGTGTTCTTGCTTGTTGTGAATTTGTCCAAAACAAGAGCAAATGACTGATCTTCAAAGGTTGCGTTGTTGATTATTCTTTGTGTTTGTCCTGCAGACTTTGATGTGGTATCTGGATGAGGAGCTTCTGGACAACAGTTCTGTTGCCGTCGTTAAACTCCTTGAATGGGGCACAAAAATCCAAAACAGGTGAATGATGGAAAGAAGGATCTGTATAAGTAGGTTGTCTGACATGGGGACAAATCTTCTGCTCAGCCCCATCCATTTTCCTCTCTGTTTCAGCCCAAAGAGTGTTGTGGAGCCCAAAGAGTGTAATTATTGAGTAATTATTACCACAATGAGGAAGTTTCTCAAGTTCCTTCTTCCTCCTAAAATCAGGGGTGGGTTCTACTTACCTTTACTACAGGTTCGCATTGCGCCTGCGCGTGCTAACTTCACTCACTTGTGCACATGCGCAGATCACCTATGATGACCTCCGGGTCAGTGGGCGGAGCCTCCTGCCGGTTTTACTACCGGTTCTTGTGAACCGATCCGAACCGGGGGCAACCTACCACTGCCTAAGATGTCACATCATTCTTCCTCCTAATCCAATTAAACCCTGTGGTTGCTACTAGTACTGTCTGTCTTTGAAGTTCCTTCTTGACTTTTCCACTTCTCTGCTAACTTTAGGGATTTTGGCAGTGCGGATGTCGACTTAGGAGGAGCAGCTGAAAAACCAAACGTTATGATTATAAAGAAGAATCAAAGACTGCAAAATAACAGTCTGCAGCCAACGGGAGTAAGTCAAGAAGGAAATAAAAACAATGTTTTAAACTTGAAGGGCTTCGCTGTGAACTGCGATGAAGGCTGGATGTCTTCATCGCAGAAGACATCCAGTCTTCTGCGATGACAACATTACCTTTAATCTCAGAATAAAGATATTGAAGTATTTCCTTCAGTGCTTCAGGTTGAATTTTCTGCCTTTTATCAGTGGAATTCAGCCTCTCTTCAGTGCTGCTAAAAATTATTTTCCCTGTCAATATTAATAGAAGCAGGAAACTTTTAATCAACTGTGAAACCATCTATTCACTGCCTCTGTTTTCACTTCCAAAATATTAAAGCAGAGGTTGTCTTCACATTTGCATGAAAAGGGAGATTGCTCCCCCCAAAAAAGGTTGGTTTTACTCATCATATATAAATCTATTCGGAACCGTGGATAAATATCACACTTTAATAAGAAAAACACAGCCAGATTTTACTGTTATCTGCGGACAAATTAAAACAAGTTTCTTATGATTTTATGCTTTCAGTGCACCATAACGCTAAAAATCTGCTTCTCACCACCGGAACCTAAAATGGTCACCCATCGAAGAAAACACAATTTAAAGAAATTGAGTAAGTAGTGGGTATTTATTTTGACCTGACTAAAGTATGTTTTGTGTGGAATTACATGGATTTTAATTTCTGATTCCTTGTCTGGATTGTTTTGAGCTCTTCGTGTTTAGAAGACAGTAGATGTTTTGTAACATCAAAAGAGATATGGGTAAAATCTGTGTGTTCCTGTTAATGAATTGGAGTAAAAAAAAAATCAAAACTTTTTGTTAGTTAACACTGACAAGAAGGTTCATGACCAGGGTTGAAATCCAGCAGGTTCTGACAGGTTCTGGAGAACCGGTAGCGGAAATTTTGAGTAGTTCGGAGAACCGGTAGTGGAAATTTTGAGTAGTTTGGAGAACCGGCAAAAACCACCTTTGGCTGGCCCCAGAGTGGGGTGGAATGGAGATTTTGCAATATCCTTCCCCTACCATGCCACACCACACCCACCAAGACACGCCCACAGAACCGGTAGTAAAAAAATTTGGATTTCACCACTGGACAAAACTCACTTAACTGTCTCATTTAGCAACCAAATTTTTGAGCAAGTTGCCATGGGCAGGAAAGTGGGAAGGACTGACACAGCAGTTCAGCAGCCACATTCAAAAGCATATTCCACACATATCTTCTTCGAGGTTTGACCTCAGATTACCAGAGCTGGCATGTGAGGTGTGGTTTCTACAGCCTGTGAAAGTGCCTCACTGGAGAAAGTGATTTATGACACAGACTGAGAGGGGGGGGGGAAACAGGGTCAGAGTTGAGCCGTAAATTACATGCGGCAGAGTTGACTTCACCCGGGAAGTTTCTGACATGTTGCTCCTAATAAATAACTGGATTTCTTTTGAAATTTGGCTCAAGGCTCATGAGTTAATTAGGGCATCTGTCGGAACCCTGACAATTTGAGGGTTTAAGAAGAATATCCCCCATAAAGGGTTGATAATGCTGCTTCTTGTCTTCTTTCACAGTCTTCTGCCCTGTCTTTGCCAAGACTTCTGTCATAGAAGAATTTACCCTGAAAGAAACCGAGGCACCTCAGGTGCCAGCTCCAACATCAACCACCATGAAAGAGCTTTCCAACAAGAAGCAACTCTTCCAGGTAACACAACATCTCAGCTCTTGATATGTGAAAGAAAGAAATTCATTGAGAGGACTGGTGGTTTCTCAGCAGATGTTATTTCTGTTGCAATTCTTGTAAATGGAAATTGATCTTTAATAAAGTCCGAACACCACAAATCATTTATTTCAAGTATGGTCCCACCAGTACAGTGTAAAGTTATACTAGGAGTTAAAAGAATAATAGTATTGGAAAAGAGGTCTTCTGGTCCAACCCCTATACCATTTCAGACAAATGGATGTCCAATCTCTTCTTAAAAACCTCCAGTGTTGGAGCATTCACAACTTCTGGAGGCAAGTTGTTCCACTGATTAATTGTTCTAACCATCAGGAAATTTAGTTCTAGGATGGTTCCCTCCTTGATTAGTTTCCATCCATTGCTTCTTGTCCTGCCTACAACTGCTTTGGAAAATAGGTTGACTTCCACTTCTTTGTAGAAGCTTCTTAGATATTGGAACACTGCTATCATTTTACCACTAGTCCAGTGGTGAAATCCGATTTTTTAACTACCGGTTCTGTGGGCGTGGCGTGGTATGGCTTGGTGGGCATGGCAGGGGAAGGATACTGCAAAATCTCCATTCCCTCCCCACTCCTGGGGGAAGGATACTGCAAAATCTCCATTCCCACCTCACTCTATTGCTGAGCACATTGTAAGCCGCCCTGAGTCTTCGGAGAAGGGCGGCATATAAATCAAATAAAAAAAAAAAAAAACTCTGGGGCCAGCCAGAGGTAGTATTTGCCAGTTCTACAAACTACTCAAAATTTCCGCTACCAGTTCTCCAGAACCTGTCAGAACCTGCTGGATTTCACCCCTGCCCTAGTCCTAATTTTAATTAAACTAAGACCTTTTCATTAAACTATGAAGACTTTCATTAATTTATAAACAACTATTTATTGTTCTCAATAAATACAATTCCAAAAACTCTTTAGGACCCTCATATTAAACCTACAAGAGTTAGTCTTCAAAAATATGAACAATATATATATATATATGACTTCAAAATGGTCATGTTTTCTGTATCTCTTCAGTGACATCTCATGGTCATCCCAATTTTTACAGGCTATGTATGATGGTTTTAAGTTGGAATGATATATTCCTGGGGAAAAAACGAGAGAAACAGAAGTCCTGCAGCCACCATCCCATTTTCATGCTATTGGCCACTGGCACACACAAAGTTGGATAACCCACAAGACTTTCTGAATCATTTGGACAAACTTCGTGAGAACATGAAATGGGGCATCTTCCAAGAATGTTTGCAGGATGGGACTGACCAGCCATTTCTCCCTTGTAGGTGAGAGTTATCATCATTGAATGTCGACAACTGCAAGAAAACAACGTCAAACCGGTGGTGAAAGTCACTATTGGAGATTATACATTCCGCACCAGAATTAGACGTGGAAACAATCCATATTATAATGAGGTTGGCATTCTGGATATTATTTTCTGGGATTTGAAGATTTTTCACAAGCATTTTGCTCAGTTAGAAAAATACAATACAACACAACACAACACAATACAATTATTTATTGGCCAAGTGTGATTGGACACACAAGGAATTTGTCTCCGGTGCATAAGCTATCAGTGTACAATACAAGCGACGAGTGATAAATCATGATCATAATCATCATAAACTGAAAGAAAAATAATATTTCAAGGTAACGATCAGGAACTGGGAATCAACGTTCACCTCCTTGCTTTTCAGTATTGTCCTGTTTCTGCTTTGTTGGGGGAAAAAGTGGCATTCGAAAAATAGCACTTGCTTTTTAATGACCAGGAGCATGTCTCTGCTTTAAAATAGTCTTCAAAGGCCAATCTAGAGTCCATTCTTGTGTACAATTGCAAAAAAAATAACATGAAACTTTGGTTTGCTTTCCTCGTAGACCTTCGTCCAAAATTTCAACGAGACCCCTCTTCACCTTTTTGATCAGTTTATTACCATACAGGTAAGCAAGCAAAGTCAAAGTTCTTTGTGGCCCTTTTTTGGGGGGACTTCTGAATTGCATTTTCCCTCTCGTGTGTGTGTCCTTTTTTGGATACGCTAACGAAATATTTCTCCTGGCTGGGATGAAGCTGCATTGTGACAGCAGGAACTAAATGCTGACAATGAAATCCAAGTGAGCAACCTTGAGTCCAACAGAACAGCTGGTGGGAGAAGGGCGAGAAATTAAAAGTTGGCATCCAGATGTTTATTCCAACTATCTGGAAACGAAGGTGGGTGGAATAATCCCGGATTCTATCAGCATGACAATTTCAGTCTCAAAATCCGTAATTGCTTCTCATTCCCAACGGAGCAGAACAAAAACAGCCCACGCATAATTGAAAACCAGCTTAAGGAAAGGAATAAAACAGATGCAGCTGAATTAAAATCCTTCTACCCATTTGATGTGCTAGTGCAATGATGGCTAACCTTTTCCGGACCGAATGCCTAAAGCTTGCGAGCATGCTAATGCATGTGTGTGCGCCCAAACCCCCAAAATGCAATGCGTGCACGGCCCCAGTGCATGCGTCCTGCCCCCTGCACATGTGAGCCCCCGTGCATGCTTGCATGTCACCCTCATGCGCCATGCCCCTTGCATGCCCCACACCCCCCACGCATGTGCAACAGAGACCCGAAAACTAGCTGGCTGGCGGGAAGCGTGCGTGCATGTGCAGCGGAGCTGAATCGGGTGATGGCATAGAGAGGGCACTGCGTGCCACCTCTGGGACACATAGCATAGGTTTTGTTGTGGCTCCGACCCCCGAGCCCATCTTACCGGAGGAAGAAGGCTCCGAACATGAAGGAGAGGAGCCGGCCAGGCCTCCCTCTCCAGGCCCCTCCTCTCTGGCAATGCCTCAGGTGTCTGCCGAGGGAGAGGAGATTGACCAGGAGCCAGGTGTCTCCGATGACAGCGATGAGGGTGATAAGTCCTTCCTGGAGCCACGCCAACGAAGGCGAGATAAACGTTTGCAGCAGATGAGGAGGCGTGCCAGGGATTAAGCTGAGTCACTGGACCACACCCCACAGGCTATATAAGAGAGTGTGATGGCCATTTAGACTCTGTGACGGACAAAGCTAACTTCCAGCTAGTCACTTTGTACAACGCCGAATCTGCTGAAGGTTTCATGTTTGAGCTGGACTGTGTGTATTCGTTGGTGTTATCTGGTGGAGGAACGCTCCCTCTTCTTGTAGTAAAGCACTTGGCAGACGGTTATCGTATTGCTGCCAAGTTCCTGATAACGAACCTTGTGTGTGCCGAGTACTTCTTTAACCCCCGGCTGGCTGTTTGTGTGTGTGGAGGGACGGGGACAGAACAGATTTGCCATCAAGGTGCTAGTGCATTGTAGTGCAATGTTGCAGATGAGCGAGATTAATGTCAGGCACAAGGAAATCAAGAACGACATGATGGTTTACTTGCAGTAGTTTCTTTACAGTTGCTGCTTTATAGACCGGAATCTTGCCAGACTAAAGCACAATCTGCATTTCAATTACAGATAGCCCATGATTTACAACCATGGATGCTCTATTCCTTCTATTTGCAGGATTTTGTATTTTGTTATCTTCTCCAGGTCCTTCTCTTCTATTCTGTGGGCCCTCTATTAGTATAATAATGAAGTTTTATCATGGGAATTTCTACCTGATCTTAAACAGGTGCTGAACTCTCGATCTGTCAGAGCTGATGCATTTATTGGTGTCTTTAAGGTGAGCCACTGTTGACCAGATTTACATATTTGGTAGACTTCTACACTTGTTAAAAATGCTTAATTTATGCTTTCTGCTCTACTATCTTACCACCTCCCATCCTACCACCAGGTCAATTATTTTTTCTGTTTAACCTGTCAACGAAACATGGAAACCAATCAAGGAGAGAAGCAACTTAGAACTAAGGAGAAATTTCCTGACAGTTAGAACAATTAATCAGTGGAACCACCAGAAGTTGTGAATGCTCCAACACTCGAAGTTTTCGAGAAGATGTTGGATAACCATTTGTCTGAAGTGGTGTAGGGTTTCCTGGCTGGGCAGGGGGTTGGACTAGAAGACCTCTAAAGGTCCCTTCCAACTCTATTATTCTGTTATTGTATCTTCTTCCCCCAACCTGTCCATAGAAACACCCAATGCCATAAAATATCTAATCTTGATCTTCCCAAATCTGGGGAAAGACAGATAGGAGGAAGAGAAGAGAAAGAGGAAAGAAATACATTTCCAACTTTTTTCTGTGCAGTAGAATTTTTTTTTTAAAAAAAGTTAGAGCTTCAAGCTTTTATCTTGCATCTCTTAATATTTCAAATAATTTCTGTAACAATCTCTAATTCCCAATGTCAATAAAAAGTTCAGTCTCCATGTTTTTTTAAAAAGGAATCCAAACTCTACCATTGGAAAATTGTTATCATTTTGTATAATGTTTAGAATAGAATAGAATAGAATAGAATAGAATAGAATAGAATAGAATAGAATAGAATAGAAAGAACAGAACAGAACAGAACAGAACAGAACAGAACAGGAGTAGAGTAGAGTAGAGTAGAGTAGTAGAGTAGAGTAGAGTAGAGTAGAGTAGAGTAGAGTAGAATAGAATAGAATAGAATAGAATAGAATAGAATAGATAGAACAGAACAGAACAGAACAGAACAGAACAGAACAGGAGTAGAGTAGAGTAGAGTAGAGTAAGAGTAGAGTAGAGTAGAGTAGAGTAGAGTAGAGTAGAGTAGAGTAGAATAGAATAGAATAGAATAGAATAGAATAGAATAGAATGAGCTGGAAGGAATCTTGGAGGTCTTCTAATTCTGCTTTAGAGAATAGATTGACCCCCTCTTCTTTGGGGCAGCCCCTCAAATAACGGAACACTGCTATCATGTCACCCCTAATTCTTCTTTTCTTTAGTCTAGCCAGACCCAAAACCTGCAGCTGTTCTACCTATGGATTAGTCTCCAGGCCTTTGATCATTTTAGTTGCTCTTCTTTTTTTTCCCTTCCTGGGCCATTCCTTGTGACGTGTGCCATTCATTCTTTTCGCAGATTGAGATGGGGCTTGTATATGACTCTCCAGGTATGTCCTCCATTCTTTCCTTACGACATGGGGGATATGGGGTTTTTCCTGTCACATGACACCTATTTGTAGTCTTCTAGGGCAGGGGTCTCCAAACATGGCAACTTGAAGACTTGCGGACTTCAATTCCCAGAATGGCTGGCTGGGGAATTCCGGGAGTTGAAATCCACAAGTCTTCAAGTTGCCAAGTTTGGCTTTAGATGTTCTTCCAATCTGTAAAGACAAAATCTACTTTGACCTGGGGTAGTGCCCAAAACCATGAGTTGGGGCCCTCAGCTTTTTCAAAACCAACACTAGGAGGGTTTGCCATTGTCTTCTTTTGAGATTCTTTTTGACAACCAGATTTCTAGAGGTCTCCCATACTAGGTCATCTCGATTTAGCTTTCAAGTCCAGAAAGGGTCCAGATACACCTCCTATGACAGAGATGGCTAACCCTTTTCCGGACCAAATGCCCAAAGCACTCACACACGGGCGCAAATCTGTGCACATGCGCCTGAACCCCCAAAATGCAATGTGCTTGTGGCCCCCACATGTGCCTCCCCTGCCTGCATGCATAGCCCTCCATGCATATGGCCAGCCCCCAGTGCATGTGTGTCAGAGACCTGAAGACCACCTGGCCGGCAGAAGATACTCGTGGATGTGCGGCAGAGCTGAACAGGGGCGATGGCTCGTGTGCCCACAGAGAAGGTACTGCATGCCACCTCTGCCACGTGTGACATAGATTCACCATCTCTGTCCTATGGCTTCCCCAATGTGTTTTGTTGTCTTCTGTAGACAGGGTGTCAGCACTTCAAGCTGCATTTACTCTAGTGCTGACATAAGAAGGAGAAGCAGAGGCGTCTGGAAAGGGACGTTTGACGTTTCACCTACTTATTTTCCCTGGAGATAATATCCCCTAGGAGATGGGATGGGAGGGGGGAAATTCCTTTGAGCTGGATCAGTAGATTAGGGGTAGAGTGACTTGGAAGATGGCCAATGAGTGCAGGGGAGTGGGGAATGGAAAGGGAGGGTTTTGGGTCTGGAAGTCAGTGTTGGCTGCGATGGAGTCGGAGTTAGAATGTCGTGCTTAATAAATGGGAGTTTTCTTCAAAGACTTTGTTTGAAATGCAATTCATTTGAGACGACCTCGAAACCTGACACAGGGGAATGAATACCTTTCCAGATGAACTCTGGTGGCAGGTATCTTAAATTAGAACCCGAGGCATTTCTTGAGACCAAAATAATACTAAAAACACTGAGCACTTTATTTTCTAGTGCAATTATGGTTAATCTTTTTGCCGTCACGTGCCAAAAGCGGGGAGAGCGTGGGGGGGTGTCGCACGCACGCATGCCCACATGCATAATTCAATGCATCCCATCCCACCGTGTATGCATGCATGACCCCTCTGCGCTCCCCTGCTTTTAGCATGTAATGGCACGGTGGGCCGAGTAGGCCCATTTTTTGCCCTCCCCAGGCTCCAAAGGCTTTCTTGGAGCCTGGCGAGAGTGAAAATGGCCTTCCCCAACCCCCTGGAGGCCCTCCAGAGGCCGGAAACAGCCCGTTTCCCAACTTCCGGTGGGCCCAGAAGGCCTGAAAATCAGCTGGCTGGCTGAAGTAGCGCAATGCTCACGTGCCCACAGATATGGCTCCACGTGCCACCTGTGGCATGCGTGCCATTGGTTCGCCATCACAGTTCTAGTGTTTTGACTTCCCATTGATATTGTTGAAAGAATACATTTCAGAAAATGAAATCAGCAGAAAGCACCAGTCGAGGTGCCCATTAGAGGGCGAATGAATATTTCTTCTTCCTAGCGTTGAACGACTGACCCAAAGACATCTAGTTGGCTTCCATTCCTAAGGTGCAACTATAATTCATCGTCTCCTGGCTTCTAATCCAGCATTTTAACCACTAGACCAAACTCAAAAATAGTTCCCGCCAATCAGAGCACTCATAAAGCCCGTTGTGTCCCATGGCTGAATAATCTATTACAGTGATGGCTAACCCTTTTGCCGTCGTGTGCCAAAAGTGGGGGGAACACGGGCAGGTCACTGGCATGCGTGCCCACACCCATTATGCATGCCTGACCCCCCCCTGCACCCCCCACTTTTAACACGTGATGGCACGGAGGGCCCGGTAGACATGTTTTTCACCCTCCCCAGGCTCCAGATGCTTTCCAGGAGCCTGGGAAGGGTGAAAACAGCCTTCCCCACCCCGGGAGGCCCTCTGGAGGCTGGAAACAGCCCATTTCCCACTTCCAGTGGGACCAGAAGGCCCAAAAATCAGCTGGCCGGCGCATGTATGCGCGCTGGAGCTGAGCTACGGCAATGCTCGCGTGCCCACAGATATGGCTCCGTGTGCCACCCATGGCACCCGTGCCATAGGTTCACCATCACGGATCTATTAGATTTAGCTGTATGGATCTCAGTAGGGATCGCTGACGACAATTTTGAGCGAAGGCGAGTGTGGGTCAGTATATTTATTATTTCTTTTCTTTAGGTCATGCTTTGATTTCCAAATGGTTGAGCCTTTATGATCCAGGGAATCTCAATGCTGGATTTAAGGGTTATGTGAAGGTCACTCTTTGTGTGCTGGGAGCTGGGGATCGTGCACCGGTAAAGTTCTTATAGTTTTAACACTCAGGAATTTAAACTCATTATCCAGAGTAATTGAAGATGCTGCTAGTTATTAAATTGTTAGATAAAACTGGAGAGGTAACTACCGTATTTTTCGGAGTATAAGATGCACCTTAGTTTTTGGGGAGGAAAATAAGAAAAAAGCTGATTGGCAGGTGGATCAGCATCCTGGAATACCCCCAATCAGCTGTTCCCAGAGGTGAATTTTAGCAACAGGTTCTTTTGTTGTGAGCTCTGTGCCTTGCTTTTTTTTCTGCCTCTGAAACTTCTGAAACTCTGTTTCAAAAAAAACTTTTTTTCCTGCCTCTGAAAGCCTCCAAAACAGCTTCAGAAAAAAAGCCTCTGAAGCTCTGTTTGGGGGCTTCTTTTCTGAAGCTCTGTTTGGAGGCATTTTTTCTGAAGCTCTGTTTGGAGGCTTTTTTTTTCTGAAGCTTCATTTCTGATGCTTTTTTTCAGCCTCTGAAACCTCTGTTTGAGAAGCCAGGCAGGGCTACATTCAGAGTATAAGATGCACCCAGATTTTTACCCTCTTTTTTGGGGGGGAAAGGTGCGTCTTATAATCCGAAAAATATGGTATGTTGGGCATCAGTAAAAATGTTTGTGTTAGGGTTGTATCTTCATTAGACCAAAAAATAGCATGCAATAATGGGAGGGAGGGAAGGAGGGAGGGAGGGAGGGAGGGAGGGAGGGAGGAAGGAAGGAAGGAAGGAAGGAAGGAAGGAAGGAAGGAAGGAAGGAAGGACTCTCCAGAAAGATAGGTCTAGTCATCCTGTGGAGTTGATTTTTCTGATCTGGCCTACCTGGTGGGGCTGAGGTTCTCATTTGGCCATGAAGCTCATTAGATAACCACTTTGGGCTAGTTAAACATAATGTCTGATGTTTCATTTAATGATCCTGTCACTTATTGTGGTTGTTAAGGAAGGTCTACCTATATACCTAGTCCACCTTCTTCGCTCTAGCTTTTCCTCATGAGCTGAAAGTGATGTTCAAAGCTTTTCTTCCTTCTAATTCTCTCCATAAACTCCCTACAGGGTAAGTTGGGCTAGAGACAGTGACTTGTGTTAAGGAAATTTCCTCGACTGAGATCGACTGGAACCTTGTTCAACACAACATCACATCAGAATCTAGAATATTCAAGTGCATTTTGTGGGATGATCTATGAACGTTGCAGTTGATTAGCTGACAGATGGATGGATTCCTTCTCTACTCTCTGTAGGATTTCGACCAACCAGCAGATACTGGTGATTTAGAATCCAATCTCCTACAGCTGGCAAGTGTGCCAGCTGCACGCACAGCCTCCCTCCAGCTCTACATCTACCGAGCGGAAGACGTTCCACAAAGTAGGTACTCAGGTCAACAAAGCTGTTCTGCTGAGGAAACGAATGGCACTGCCAAAGGCAGGAATCTGGGCGCGGGTGCAAGGTTGAAGAGGTTGCCATTCTAATCATGTATCAGGGGTGGGTTCTACTTACCTTTACTACCGGTTCGCAGCAGGGCCGCGCACTCTTCTGCACATGCGCAGAAACTTCTGCGCATGCGCAGAAGCGTTTTGGTGACGTCAGGGTCAGTGGGCGGAGCCTCCTGCCGGTTTTACTATTGGTTCTGCAGTGGTGGGTTGCTACCGGTTCATCCCAGATCAGGCGAACCGGTAGCGGTGGCGGTGGGAGGCTCCACCCACCCACGAGCGAACCGGTAGCAACGGGTTTTGAAACCCGCCCCTGTAGCACTGGGCGATGGTCAGATCGTGCCAGAGCAAGGAAGATAAAAGCACTACAAACCAGGAACTCAGTAGTCTTCTCTCGTGCCCTACCGGAACCTGACAATTAAACTGCATGAGATGATTGCATGAAGATGCTCTTTATTTATTTATTATTTATTTATTTATTATTGCGATTTATATGCCGCCTTTCTCCCTGGGGACTCAAGGCGGCTTACAAAATGCCAAATTCCAATACAAATCACAATGAAATAAAATTAAAATCAGGAACCCTATTAAAAACAGTTTCAAATGATGACAGTGTACCCCCAAACGGATCAGTTGAGTTGACGGAAGAGCCACGTCTTCAGTTCACGACGGAAGGAAAGAAGGTCGGGGGCTGTCGTGAGCTCAGTGGGCAATCCATTCCAGAGGGTCGGGGCTCCCACAGAGAACGCTCTCCTCCTGGGGGCCGTCAGCCGACATTGTTTGGCCGACGGCACCCTGAGGAGGCCGACTCTGTGAGAGCGCACAGGATGGTGGGAGAGCGGCTGGAGATGGTCCTTCAAGTACCCCGGGCCTAAGCCATGAAGGGCTTTATAGGTGAGCACCAGCACCTTGAAATGTATCCGGAGCGCCACCGGCAGCCAGTGCAGCTCACGCAGGAGAGGTGTTACACGGGAGTATCTTCTCTTAGTCTGGCATCCATTCCTTAAACAGGGTAGAGAGTCTATCGTCAATAAGGGCCTTACAGTCCCCCAGAAATTCTTTTATGGTCTTGGAGCTACCCTGAGCATCCCGGTTGTGGGACAGGCCAACAAACAAAGTCTCAACCAACGATGGAAAGTAACAATTACAATTATAACCATGAAGGGTTTTATAACCTATTTCAAATGCACCTAGGATCTGCCTAGCCACCCATCTTCCTTCTTTCCATTTTCTATCACAGCTCAGCTGAAATCCTGCTTTAGACTTAAAGCCGCTCTCTTCAAGAGGCCACATGCAAGCAGAGAGTTAAGAGCTCATAATCCCCCCCCTCACACACACACACCTTAATAAAGTGGGATGCTAAAAATAAGCCTCTTCCTTACTTTTTAATTCGCCTGTGGCTTGTCCTTCTTTGCAGTACAAGATGGCACATTGACACCTTTCACGGCCTCACCGGTGGATCCTCTCAGCATCTCGGTGGACCCTTCTCTGGAAGTGAATTTTGCAGGGCGAGTGGTGGGTGTAATGCAAACGGAGGTTTTGCTTTTCTTAGCAGCGTTGTTATTTTTAAGAGACAACTATTGTGCTATTGGTAGGTGGCGTAGTAAGTCTACGACACACTTTAAAACACGCACACACCAGCAATGGTAAATCTCTACTGCAGACCACAGAGTCACAAACGGAGGGAGGGAGGGAGGGAGGGAGGGAGGGAGGGAGGGAGGGAGGGAGGAAGGAAGGAAGGAAGGAAGGAAGGAAGGAAGGAAGGAAGGAAGGAAGATAGCAATAGCACTTAGACTTATATACCGCTTCACAGTGCTTTACAGCCCCCTCTCAGCAATTTACAGAGTCAGCCTCTTGCCCCCAACAATCAGGGTCCTCATTTTACCCATCTCGGAAGGATGGAAGGCTGACTCAATCTTGAGCCGGTCAGGATCGAACTATTGTTAGTCAGCAGAGTTAGCCAGCAATACTGCATTCTAAGCAAAGGGAGGGAGGGAGGGAGGGAGGGAGGGAAGGAAGGAAGGAAGGAAGGAAGGAAGGAAGGAAGGAAGGAAGGAAGGAAGGAAGGAAGGAAGGAAGGAAGGAAGGAAGGAAGGAAGATAGCAATAGGACTTAGACTTATATACTGCTTCCTGTGCTTTACAGCTCTCTCTAAGTAATTTACAGAGTCAGCCTCTTGCCCCCAATAATCTGGGTCCTCATTTTACCAACCTCAGAAGGAGGGAAGGCTGAGTGATCCTTGACCCGGTCAGGATCGAACCTCCTGGCAGTGGGCAGAGTCAGCTCTCAATACTGCAATACACATTAGCCCATCTGTGTTTATCATTGGGGCCCTACTGACAGCTTGACAAAAGAAACTTCCCCCTTCCCAAAGGTTTCATACTTAGTCACCTGGAGATGATCCTTGATCATCACAGGTGAGTCAAAATATATAAACCTGGCGTGTGTGACCCTTGCTTGATCTCAGATTTAGAAGTCAGGGGGATATTCTGCTCTGCTGGACTATTACTTTGCCGGCTTGCCCTTGTTTGATTTGCTTTCTTTCTCAATTATGTTCAGCTAAGGACCAAGGTCATTTTTGGAGACACCAATCCTGTGTGGAACCAGGTTCTCTGTTTTCCCATGCAGGTAAGCTGGGTCTGAAAAGAAAGGGCTGGATGACACTGACTGCAGGCTAAATTTATCAATAAGCAGGAGGACACCCGTCAATATAGCTATATTGCTGTAATAGCTTCTTGGATGAGAAGGGAAACGTCTTCAAAGAAAAACCAGAGAGTCCAGATGCCCCTTCGGGACAACTGTGACCTGGAGGACTGAGAATCTCCGTAGACATTTAGTAAAGTCAACCTGTTATTTTTCTCTAGTTCTGTAATTCAGGACTTTGTGGTGTTCCAATATTTGGAACCAAGGATATTCTCCAAAGCACCTGAGGGCAGGACAAGAAGTAATGGAAGGAAACGCATCAAGGAGAGATCCAATCTAGAACTAAGGAGAAACTTCCTGGCAGTGAGAACAATTAAGCAGTGGAACAGAAGTTGCCCCCAGAAGTTGTAGGAGCTCCAACATTTGGAGGTTTTTAAGAAGAGACTGGACAGCCATTTGTCCAAAATAGGGTTTCCTGCTTGAGTAGGGGATTGGACTAGAAGGAAGGAAGGTCCCTTCCAACTCTGTTTTGGTCAACAACCAAAGAATTCCCAAAGTATAGAGATAAGTTTTAAGGACATTGTGATTCACTGGCACCTGGCTCTGAGACTAAATCCTCAGGGTTCTTGGAAACCTGTGGGGTACCAGAAATCTCAGAACGTCTTTCGGATTGAAATATGCCTAGAAGTTCACTTTTTTTTTTTAAGCCATAGAAGACTCTGGGAAATGTCGCTCACCCTGTAACATGAATGACCATTACAGATGAGATCAATTCACATCTTAAACCAACTCACCCTAAATTTAGCAACATTTCCATTTTTTTATTTTTTTTTTTATTCTGGGGTTTTGGCCCTGGGAAAGTATGGGAATTCTCTCCCACACATAAAGATTTCCCTGGTGAGGGATGCCAAAAATGTTATTAGCCATTGTATGAGGTGGCTACAGCTAACTTCATGGAGAACGTAGACACAGCCATCTTCCTGTTGTTAGTTGCGAAGTTGTGTCTGATCCATCGCGACCCCATGGACAACGTTCTTCCAGGCCTTCCTGTCCTCTATCATCCCCCGGAGTCCATTTAAGCTCACGCCGACTGCTTCAGTGACTCCATCCAGCCACCTCGTTCTCTGCCGTCCCCTTCTTCTTTTGCCCTCCATCTTTCCCAGCATTAGGCTCTTCTCCAGGGAGTCCTTCCTTCTCATTAGATGGCCAAAGTATTTGAGTTTGACTTCAGGATCTGGCCTTCTGAAGAGCAGCCAGGGTTGATCTCCTCTAGGACTGACCGGTTGATCTCTGGGACTGATCAAAGTCCAGATATTTTTGTTAGTTGCGCAGTTGTGTCTGACCCATCGCAACCCCATGGACAACGTCCCTCCAGGTCTTCCTGTCTTCTACCATCCTCTGGAGTCCATTGAAGCTCATGCTGACTGCTTCAGTGACTCCATCCAGCCACCTTGTTCTCTGCCGTCCCCTTCTTTTGCCCTCCATCATTCCCAGCATTAGGCTCTTCTCCAGGGAGTCCTTCCTTCTCATTAGGTGGCCAAAGGATTTGAGTTTCCTCTTCAGGATCTGGCCTTCTAAAGAGCAGTCGGGGTTGATCTCCTCTAGGACTGACCGGTTGGATGGCCTTGCAGTCCAAGGGACTCGCAGGAGTCTTCTCCAGCACCAGAGTTCAAAGGCCTCCATTCTTTCTACAATGGTTAATTAACATGTTCTGTCAAGAAAATCCCTGTGTTGCAGCCACCCAGAATCAAATAAGCTTCAGGGAATCTTGTCTTTATTTTTCTTTTGTATTTTCACTGTAGTTGCCTTCTATCTGTGACCTCATTAAACTCACTATTATGGATGGGTGAGTACTAGCAATTTCTGTCATTTTTCCACTGCGATACTGCATAAAATCAGTATCATGGTATCAGGATCACCTGCTTTATTTCATTGCTTGTGATTGAGAAGCAGATAGATAGATAGATAGATAGATAGATAGATAGATAGATAGATAGAAGATAGATAGATAGACAGACAGACAGATAGATAGAAAGATAGAGATGATAGATAGATATAAATAGAAGATAGATGATAGATGGTAATAGAGAGAGAGCTGATATATAGAAGATAGATAGATGATAGATATGATATATAGAAGAGATAGATAGATAGATGATAGAGATAGATAGATAGATAGATAGATAGATAGATAGATAGATAGATAGATAGATAGATGATAGAGATATGATATATAGAAGATAGATAGATAGATAGATAGATAGATAGATAGATAGATAGATAGATAGATAGATAGATAGATGATAGAGAGAGAGAGAATGATATATGAAGATAGATGGATGGATGGATGGAGAGAGAGAGAGAGAGATGATATATAGAAGATAGATAGATAGATGATAGATATGATATATAGACGAGATAGATAGATGATAGAATAGATAGATAGATGAGATATGATATATAGAAGATAGATGGATGGATGGATGGATGGATGGATGGATGGATGGATGGAGATGATAGATAGATAGATAGATAGATAGATAGATAGATAGATAGATAGATAGATAGATAGATAGATAGATAGAAGATAGATAGATAGATAGATAGATAGATAGATAGATAGATAGATAGATAGATAGATAGATGTAGGTAGGTAGGTAGGTAGATAGATATAGATATAGATAAAATCATTTTGAAAGAGCAAGTGCCGAAGGATTTTATTCTAACTCCCATCCCATCAAAAAGGATGTTTCTACAAGGGATTTTAAAAATGAAATATTGTTCAAGGCTCCCGGTATTTCTGGAGGTGAAGGCTCCATTGCACCCCTTGTTTCCCCCAGGGCAGAAGAAGGAGACGGCCTTGTTTTGGGCACTGCCTTCCTCAGCCTCACCCAGATCTCTTGCGCAGGAGCTGGAACAAAAAGTAAGAACAGGCTTCTTCCTCCTCCCTCTAACCTTCAGAACCTGCTTGGTTTCACCCCTGGTTTAAACCGATCACTTCAGTTGGATTTGGGAACTGGACCGAGGTGTCCTTCAGGAAATCCTCAGCCAATGTACAAATTCATTTTTCTCCTAAACTCTTTGTGTTTTCAGAAGAGACTTCGGGGTTCTTGCCTTCCTTTGGACCAAGCTTTCTCACGTTCTACGGGAGCCAAAAGGAGTTTCTGAACCCAGCTGAAGCTCCTGAGAAACGCGGGATTGAGGCGGTAAACTTGTCCCATTAACCAAGTCAAACGTTTTCTGAGGGGAGGTCGAAAGTGGTGGTCCATTTGTCCTGCAAGACACAGTAGCTGAAAAAGCTAAACAAACTGATAGGATTATGGGCCAAAGTTTTGAAAAGAGGTCAGCCTTCTCTGTCTGTCCATAGGTTTAGGACTATCCAGAGTGAAGTGGAGTGGAGTAGATTTCTTGAGAGTTAGAACAATTTCCTGAGAGTTAGAACAATTAATCAGTGGATCAATTTGCCTCCAGAAGTTGTGGAGATTTTTAGAAAGAGATTACTCAACCCTTTGTCTGAAATAGTATAGGGCCAAGATGGCGAACCCAGAGGTGGCACATAGAGGCATGTGGACATGAGTGCCATCTCTGGCTGCTCTTCCGGGTTCCAGCTGGCTGGCACACATGCACACAGCGGAACCCGGAAGAGAGCAGCTGGCTGGCGCTCATGCACACAGCAGAACCCGGAAGAGAGCAGCTGACTGGCGTGCATGCACACAGCGGAACCCAGAAGAGAGCAGCTGGCTGGCATGCATGCACACAGTGGAACCCGGAAGAAAGCAAACTGGCTGGCGCATATGAACACAGCGGAACCCGGAAGAAAGCAGCTGGCTGGCGCATATGCACACAGCGGAACCCGGAAGAGAGCAGCTGGCTGGCGCGCATGCACACAGCAGAACTCGGAAGAGAGCAGCTGGCTGGCGCTCATGCACACAGCGGAACCCGGAAGAGAGCAGCTGGCTGGCGCTCATGCACACAGCAGAACCCGGAAGAGAGCAGCTGGCTGGCGCTCATGCACACAGCAGAACCCGGAAGAGAGCAGCTGGCTGGCGCTCATGCACACAGCAGAACCCGGAAGAGAACAGCTGGCTGGCGTGCATGCATGCCAGACCAGCTGTCCAGTGTGCATGCACATGATGGAACCTGGAAGAGCAGGTGGCTGCCATGCGCATGTACACCGACCAGCTGCTTTCTTCCAGTTTCACTCCAGTTTCAGCGATGCCAAAAAGGTTAGCTGTCACTGGTATAGGTTTTCCTGCCTGAGCAGGGGGTTGGACTTGAAGACTCCCAAGGCTCCTTCCAACTCTTGTTATTCTATTTGTGAGTCTATTCTCCATATCTCCACAATCTTCTCCAGGAAGAAGGGACCACGTATCGTGGAAGAGTTCTTACGGAGCTGCGGACTATCAGGGAACCAATCCCAGTTCAGAAAATTGATGACATCCCTGGGGAAACTGTTAAAAAGATGCAGGTAATCTGGCAACGAAGTGGATCCACCATTATTTTGCAAGATAATACCGAAATATGCCGCGGACTTTCCCCAAAGTTGTTTTTCAACCTTATGTTCAAAGCAGAAGTGGTATTCAGCCGGTTCGGATCAGTTCCGGCAAACCGGTAGTAGCAACCTGCGGGTACAATCCCATCCTATATCGCTGTGTTTTTGACACTGCACGCATTTGTGGACAGCACGCGCAAGCGAATTGCCATGTTGTTTGGCATCACACACATGTGTGGATGTGTGTTATGTGATGCTGCACGCATGTGTGAGTGGCGCGTGAATGAACTTCCTTCAAATTGCTCTTTGTGATCTTTTTGAGATGCCTTGACCATTGGATGGGTGGAAGGTGTTCCTGTTAGTTACCTGTATTTCCATTCCTCTATAGCAGGAGTCAGCAACCTGCGGCTCTGGAGCCACATGTGGCTCTTTCACCCCTCTGCTGCGGCTCCTTGTCACTCAAACTATACATCACAACCATCAATGTGCGACACCTGCTGGCACGCAATTTATTGAGCTTTTCAGCCCCCGATAGACCAACCATAGATAAATCCAAGAAAAGAAAAGTTTCAGAAGAAAACAGAAGGTTTACTTCAACTACATATATTAGTTTTGTGGCCACTCAAGAAATAGTCAGGCACGGGAAGGGTTTTGTGGCTCCCAGTGTTTTCTTTTCTGTGGGAAAGGAGTCCAAATGGCTCTTTGAGTGTTTAAGGTTGCAGACCCCTGCTCTATAGCCTTCAGGGTTATACATAATTCCCAACCAAGAAAAGCCGTAACGAGAACTAAAGGAAGTATAAACGGTGTAGAAATCCTGAGAGCCTCCAGAGACCCACAACAATGACAAATATGCCCCTTTCAGTTGATTCTTTAGTGAAAATGTTCTACTCGTTGTTAAAAATTGAATTATATGGTCTACTCTATTTAGGCTATTGGCTCAGTAGTTATTGAACGTATTTAAGAGTTTTAATAGTAACTCTTTTGAATTTCCCTGCAATTTTTCTGGAGTCTTAGGTGGGCAGTATTGATCTTTAAATCATTGAAATTAACCAATCCATGAAGGTGAAAACTGGCAAAACATAACATTATCCCAAAAAATCTTTTTTTTCTCCTATGAATTTACTGGATTTCTAGAGTTTCATTGTGGAAACTCTAGCAATTGAACTTTAATCAATTAATTTGCTTTAATCTGAATCAATGAACGTAGGAATTCAGTCAAGCTTATAAACCTGGTAAATCAAGAAAGTAAGTAAGCAAGGAGTTAGACATGGCAAATTATGTGGGAAGATCTGGGCTATCGTACACCTTTCTCGCATAACCCATGACAATTCTTTGTCTTCTCAGTATTTCTTGCCTCAGTTCCGATATGGCCTATGCGTTGTCTTTTACTCTGCTACCATGTTGGCTGATATCACGGAACCGATCCAGTTTGAGGTCAGCCTAGGGAACTACGGGAACAAATTTGATGAGACCTGCAAGCCGTTTGCCTCCACTACTCAGTACTGCCATGCTGTTTATGATGGTAAGTAGGAAAGGGCAGAAGGAAGAGCGTGCGGAGCAGCGGTGAAATCCAATTTTTTTTTTTACTACCGGTTCTGTGGGCATGGCTTGGTGGGCATGGCAGGGGAAGGATACTGCAAAATCCCCATTCCCACCCCACTCTAGGGGAAGGATACTGCAAAATCTCCATTCCCATCCCACTCCAGAGGAAGGATACTGCAAAATCCCATTCCCACCCCACTCCAGGGGAAGGATACTGCAAAATCCCCATTCCCACCCCACTCCAGAGGAAGGATACTACAAAATCTCCATTCCCATCCCACTCCAGAGGAAGGATACTGCAAAAATCCCCATTCCCTCCCCACTCCAGGGGAAGGATACTGCAAAATCTCCATTCCCTCCCCAGTCCAGGGGAAGGATACTGCAAAATACCCATTCCCTCCCCACTCTGGGGCCAGCCAGAGGTAGAATTTGCTGGTTCTCCAAACTGCTCAAACTTTCCGCTATCAGTTCTCCAGAACCTGTCAGAACCTGCTAGATTTCATCTCTGGTGTGGAGGGAAATCAAAGTCTCTATGCCATCATACCATTTCAGCCCAGCTTCGCTTTGAGGGCATCCTGCCATAAAAAAAATGGTGGGATATAAGGAGGGTGGGATGACAAGAACCCGAAGTGCCAACCAGAGTCAACGGTTGAGTGATCCAAGGACAGGAGCATGGGAACAGAATGCAAACAATCACCAAAGAGATGCCAACATGTGGAACTGTTACCAAAACACCTAATTGGAATATTGTTGGACATTAGCAAGAATATCAAGGGGGGAATGGAAAGGAAAAACACCAGGGTTACACAGGAATATTCCGATCTGGCTTTGCTTGTTCTGTAACCACTTGCCTTTAGTAAAAGCCTACCTTTCACTACAAATGGAGTCAAGGGTCTTCTTTTCCTAAGAAGTCGTGTTGGGACAAGCCTGACACTCCAGTAATAAATAAGGACCAGTGACTCATTTGATTCTTGGTAGCTCCATGAACCCCATGCAAAACTAAATTGCTTCTGTTGCAGGTAATTTCTACTATTACCTGCCGTGGTATGACACTAAACCCATGGTAACCATCACCTCGTTCTGGGAGGACGTTAGCTACCGCGTTGCCTGCACAAACACCCTCCAGTTCATTCACAAGAGGCTGGTAAGCTTCAAGAGGAAGGGAAGGAGTCATTATGCCCAACTCACCCAAGCAATGTGCAATGAAAGGTTGTTGATGGGAGAGGAATGCATGCTCCATATTGGTGTCTTCAAACTTGGGTGCTTAGATTAACCTACAGAATAACAGAGTTGAAAAGGAACTTGGACGTCTTCTAGTCCAACCTCTTGCCCAAACAGCAAACCTTATACCACCCCAGACAAATGGTTGTCCAATCTCTTCTTGAAAACCTCTGGTGATGGAACATCCCACAACTTCTGGAGGCAAGTTCCACTGGTTAATTGTCCTCACTGTCAGGAAATTTCTCCTTAGTTCTAGGTCAGATCTCTCATCAAGGAGAGATTTCCACCAAGTTTCCACCCGTTACTCCTTGTCCTGCCACCAGGTGCTTTGGAGAATAGGTTGACCCCCTCTTTTTTTGTGACATCTTCTCAAATATTGGAAGACTGCTACCATGTCATCCCTAGTCCTTCTCTTCCTTAGACTAAACATACGAGGCCACTGAATAGAATAGAATAGAATAGAATAGAATAGAATAGAATAGAATAGAATAGAATAGAATAGAATAGAAT